GGTTTTTCACAGAGGGACTGTAATCTACCATAAACTGAACACATTTTTCAGTAGTGATAAGCATGATATAATCGAGTTTTTTTTGGGTGTCTGTTGAACTAAATGCAATGTAGACTTAAGGTTTCACCAGCTTTTATTTGCAGAAGATCTACCATTTTCAATAGTTTGCTGAGCAGATCATTTCAGACTTCGATCAAAGAAATCCTGATGTCTTTTGAAATGTTAAGGAACTGGACATTGATATCAACCATGGACTGATAATCTAAATATTTAAGATTGAAGCCACGACCTGTGGGGTTGACCAGAAGGAACGAAAGCGGATTCCAAATGAAGACCTTGGGTAATAGTTACGCTAAATCATGAGTTGATAGAAGAAGGAAACAGTGAACGATTGAACATTGGCCCATTGGTTGAATGGTTAATACGTTTGCCATGAAACCTGAGTTTGATCCTCAGCTGGGTCATACTTGGAGGAACTAGCTATCAAGGACTTCTAGGCTTTCATTGGTGCCACAAATGATATCGGTTTGCGATGAATCCTACGTTAAATATTCTGTCCCTAAAACGTATGACAATAATACATTTGTTAAGCTCTAAAGTTGATTTAAAAAGACCGGTAGAACATTACATTTGTTACTGGGTGATGATTAACGGTGAAATGAAAATTTGAACAGCGGCAGAATTAAAACCAATATCAAGATGTCTGCTAAACCACAGCTGTCTCAATTAGTCAAAATGATACTCAATATGATGCTTCCTCTCTCTAAGTCAGTTAGATTTAGATTACGATTAGAAGTCACGAATGGGCATTCAGTGTGAATATGATCAAGCGGTAGTAAGGCGTCAGGAATCCAAGGAACAGACTTAAGACAGTAGTGTTGTTCACTTTCATAGTATTTGAAAAATAACCATTTCGTATTCGCCATAATATCACCGTTTATCGTCTGTATCCCCTTAAAGCTAACAGAAAACCAGTAAAATCATTTTTCGTTCACCTTTCAGTCATATAACAATTATATACAACTTCTTGGAAACCATTCAACTTTCCCTAATTAACAGCAGAGTAACAAGTTTTTCTCGTTGCAAGTTTCATTCCAAATGAGACCACATATCTATCTTTTCTCCTGTTTCACCTATGTTTAACCAAAAAAAATATACTTTGTGTCAGAAGGAAACTCAGTGTATTTCCTAAGTTCTATTTTTATGGCAAAGAAATTAAGATGATCAGTAGATAAACAGGTCACTGTTGAATGCTGAAAATGTTTAAAATCAGCTGCTACACATTTCTTCTCCTTTAGGTTCACTACTCGAGTTCATTTTTTTTTCTAATCCGAGTACTGAGTAGCTTTTAGTGATAAAATTTAAAGAAATGAATGTCTTTTACTTGGTAATTCATTTCATGTGGACATCTTCATTTGTGTATGAGTATTATTGTGATATACTATTCACATGTTATTATTTAAAAATACGTTTATTTTACAAGATTTATTATCAGCCTGAGCTAATGAATGTTAGCTTAGAGGTATCTGTGTTTTTCATTATCCTGAAAAAGTATAGAAAGCACACTGTATATTCAGCCGGTACCCATTATTCATTAATGTAACAGTTTAATTGTTATCAGCATCAAAGCATCCGCATAGTCAACCAACATTCTTTTATTTCAATCCATCGAATCATCGACAGGGGTTACAAGCCCGAATATTTTCACAATAAGCATGTTCTGTAGTGAACTATGAGGCTTTATGGACACGTAAAGTGTTAGGATATTCGAGACAAAAACGGTCTTTATGTTGAACACGGAGAAATATGATATACTTTGACTATTTCTGAATACATCACATCCAAGTAGGAGTGTACCATCTCATACTTTCCTGAGATAAATTTTCAGATTATCTGTTTGTTTAAAATTAGTTATACTTCACACTTTTTTCGATAAGATGTACTTTAAAGAAAGGTTTTTTATAGATTTTTATGTAAAGTAAAACCATTCCAGACAATAAAAATATTAGGAAAAATGTTATGTAATGCAACAATTTCTTCTAGATTCTTCAGAGAAACCAGACAGTCAATCACAGCCAATCACTGCATGTTGAACGTTTGAGCAAAATCCCGTAATCTTACGAGAGACTCAAATTGGTTAGAGAGCTCTCTAGAAAGGTGTAGAACTTTCCAAGATCATCAACAAATGTATATAAATAGTTAATTTTTGTACATATTCGACTGGATAACAAACCTGTTATTTGAAACACTTGATCCCTTTTCTGAATTTCGACAGCGCAACCAGAAAAAGAAGTTTATCTGAACAATGAAATGTATTTGCGCAATACATTTCGTTTAGTGAAGATTTTGAATATGAATGCTATTAGCAAAGAGGAATTCAATTCACTGAAGCCCAAAGGATCTAAATTTACAAATCTATATGAACTACTTAGGTTTCATAAAGTTATAAATCCATTACGCCGTACTTTGTCTATGTGTCGTTCCCCCAAATATAAACTGAGGAAATGGTTAGTGAAAATTTTTTAAATCCAGTCCAAACAAATTCTGTAAGTTTTCATTGAAAGATTCTTTTCAAATTGTTGACTGTCTTAGTAACATGAATATCGAAAACAAAATCATCTACTCTTCTGATGTAAATTCTTTATTCACTAACACGCCGTTGTTCAAGACAATAAGCATTCTCTGTGACTACATTTCTTCTGGAAATTTCCCATTCCCTATTACTGCAACCTTTCTGAAGGAGCTACTATTGCTATTTACCGACAAAGTCCACTTCACACTTGAAGGTGAACGCTTTTGGCAAGTTGACAGTGTAGCTACGGGTAGTCCCTTAGCATCACAACTAGCTGATACTTATACTACACATATCAAAAACCTGGCTGGTGATCTCATAGCTAAAGTATCTCTTCACAACCGATATGTTGATGAGATCATAGTGATTTCTGAGGTATGAGGATATGGCTTGTCTACAAAAAGACTTAGCACCATACAAACTCACATCAGCCTGACTTGTGAGAAGGAGAATAATAATCATCTGCCATTCCTAAATATACTCCTGAGTCGACAATAAGATGGTTGAATACGACAGTCAGCTAACAGAAAGCCTACATGGACAGGACATGGACCTGAATTTTCACAGTTTTTGTCCAATCCAATACAGGCAAGGTTCAATAGGATGCCTGTTTGATAGGATCTGTTGTATCAGTACATCAGATATGCTGGATGAAGATATCAAATTATTGACTAAAACACTAATGAAAAATGGATATCCGCTGAAGTTTATAAATCATTGTAGAGGTCAAGTAGCACCGGAGCCAACCCCATACACGGTTACTAAGAAGGGCGTACACATGACTCTACCATGCAGAGGGAAGCTAGATGGTATTATTTTGAGACATAGGCTGATATAAGCCATTAAGAAAGCATATTACGCAGATAATCTAATCTTCATGGAAAAAACAAAACACATGCTTCACCAAAAACCTAAACACTGTATCGACGATTACATCATATCCCATTGTGTTTACCAATTTACGTGTGTGTGGTCGCATGTACATAGAGAGTCATAGAGTTGAGGGTGAGAGGACATGTACTTAAATGGCTTCCAAAAGAATGGAGTGTGAAACCGTGATACAAGCTGGTGGGAGACGATACTCGTCATCTATAGCTATACATCTCATAGAAACAGGTTATCACAATAATGTTCAAACAACTTTCAAATTTTTATGTGGAAATAGTCAAGGACGCATACTGAAATTTGCAGAAGCCATAGCCATACACAAGTTTAAACCACCTTCTTGTGTACAAAAACAGTTTGTTCTTACACTACACCTACCTTGGTAAACTTTATTTTCCTACCAAGATTAGGATCAACTAGCTCACTTCCTGTTTGGTTATATTTTAATTGAAATCCCCAATTATCTTTATTTTTACATTTGTTTTCCCACTATTCGGTTTGATATTCGGTTTGATATATATATACAAATAAATATATGATCAGATTGTTCGAAATATGTATTGCACAAATACATCAAGTATTGTTCAGATTAACTTCGTCTTCTGATTACGCTATCGATATAAACCTTTATCACTTTTACCACTTGTTTTCGAAGAACCAAGCTATCATCAAGTCTCAAGTCTCAAGACCCTACTCCTATATAGTTATAAATATATCTTAATGTAATACAAAAATATGTAAAAAACACTCCTACTTTTTATCTAAACCCTATTAAAGGAGAAAACAAATTTTTACTTTGAGTAAGCATTAAAACACAGCTTTTGTCAAAATTTGATATCCGAAATATCTCGATAACATTTTCGGAAAAAACTTCTTTAAACAAAAACGTACCGAGATAAATTATAGAGGGAAAAAGCTCAATTTGCCAAATTTGGTAATACAACAATCACTTTAAATGATTTAAGTTGAATCCCCTTTATATTTATCTAAATAAATGAATTTTAGATTGGGATTCATCGTGGACTGATATCAGGTGGAGGAACATTGGAAACTTGAGAGCACTGGACAGTTATTTCATCCTGCTATGGGATTTATAAAACCAATTAATAAACTCCCACAAGCCTCCAGATGGAATTGACCTAGCGCTTGTTGGTGACTAGTTTCGAAAGAGGATTCCCGAAGTTCCAATGAGAAGCCGTGATCAGTAAAGTTAAATAAGTCGAACATGAGGACGGTTAATCAACAACGACATTGGATGTAGATCATGATATATCGTGAACTGACAGAAGTAGGAAATGTGGACCATTGGATTCCGACCCAGTGGCTCCATGGAAACATGGTGGCTACGGAACCGGAGAGTCATGGGTTGGATCCTTGGTGGGGTCATGGCTTCACACTGGTGAAGAGTCCCATACTGTGATGAAACAGCAGTCCAGTGCTCCCAGGTTTCTAATGTTCCTCCAATTGATGTCAGTCCATGATGAATTCCAACCTAAAATCAATTAACAAACCTCTTCAAACCTCCAGATAGAATCAACCCAATGACTAGTTAAAAAAAAATGTTTACAATTTAACGTTGTCTCCCGTAAACGACGATCATTCACTGATACATACAAGACTATGTAAAATCAGAAAACAACATTTAATCAAAAGCATAATTTTGACGAGTATTACGGAATTTAAGCCAGTCATAGTTAAACACAAATGCTTTAAAACTGGAGAACGAGAAGTTGAAAAGTAGACTTTAGAAAAACAAATATCATTTACTAATTGTTTTTACCCTTTGTTGGTAAATGAAAACCTACCTTTTAAAAAGTAAACATGTCATAAACACGTGTAAGTGTGACTAATACATTCTGTGTTATACACCACATTTAAATGTAAAAATAATTAAAGACAAATTGAATTATTTATACATTACTTCCATTTCGAAATATTTTCATTTAGATAAACAGTAGAAAAAGATGACAAAACATCACTTGACTGAATCAAAAGATAATAATTACTGAGAGGAATAAGAGTGTTCAAAGAAACACAAGTCAAAAATTAAGAACCTTTAAGGAAGGAAAAAAGATAAGAATCGAAAAATATACATATAAACATTTTGTTTTAATGAACTAGGATGAAAATCAAAATGTTCAATGTTCAATAAGTGACAAAGGAAAAACATGAGATTTTATATCACAAATTAAATTTCTATTCACACATTTATTCAAAAAAATAATAAAAATAAACATGAGATGTACATTATGATAAAAAATACACAGTGGAATGTAGTTAACGGTTATTCATTGAAACCATTTAACGCCGTGAAAAATAAATATTGTCAATATTGACATTGTATCTTGGATACAACAACATATTTTCAATGTTTACATAAATATTTTTTACTAATTTCTTGTTTCATATTACCTTTGCATTGAATTTACGGCCTAATTCAATAGTCAACAACTTGCACTATCACTACTACTGTGACAGCAAGGTAATTAATTAGAAGAAATTCAATCCAACAACTTCATAAATGTTACTCATATTCCTATGGAATTGATAAGATATAGTAAATTTTCTACATGGTGTATCAGTTGTATTTTCTTTTTAGTGTAATCACATACATACACAGTAAACGATTATTTACTGAAGGATGAATGTTTTCATGTACATTTTACCATTGTGTACAAAATAAATTATTATTATTAGAACATGCAAAAAAAAATATTCATGATAACATGTTTTTGTTATACATTTATGTATGGAATGTTACAATTTTTAATTAAACTGAATATAAACAATTAAATTAAACAAATAATACTGATAAACAATAATTTAAAATGAGTTGAGGTTTTTTCTTGCCTAAGTTTTTAAATAACTTCAAAAAATTGATGATGACAAATTATATTTCATAGTTAATATGCTTTATCTTTCATTTCCTACTTTTTAAAACTCTGAGTAAAAAAGATGTTGAAAGTAGCTGTTTATATGAAGAATGTACCTATAAATGCATAAATTATTGGTCATATACTGAATGTTATGCATATTCGTGTTTATTTAATAGAGGTTTTTAAAATGTTAGTCAGCTTAACACATATAATTTTCAATTTTTTTCATTAAATGAAATATTCATTTATATAAAATTGGAAATTAAACAGAATTATTCAATGATTTATTTATTGTTTTGAATTGGAGTCTTTCCATGTTGTTAGAGAAAAAGGTTTACGTTGAAAAGTGCCTAACACTTTTTGATCGTTTAATGTTTTACCTACACAAGAAAATATAAATAGAATTAAAATAAAACAATTAAGAATATACATAAACAAAATATGTTTATAAGAGACATTAAAGTAATTTTACAATAATTTTGTGCGTATTTTAGAAATATATAGAGAATACCCTTAACTCACAAATGATCAAGCCTCCTTTTTTCAAAATAAAGTACTTCGACACACAACCATGCGATTGAAAACGTTTGAAGTTAGAGGAAAGTGCATTTATTATTTTGAGGGAGTTGTGGAGATTTGGAATTATTTCAAGTTGTTATTCATCGTAGACTGACATCAGTTGGAGGAATAAAGGAAACCTGGGACCACTGAACAGCTGTTTCGTCCTAGTATGGGACTCCTCAGCAGTGCGCGCCCACGACCCCATCAGAAGGGATCGAACCCGCGACTTCAGGTTCCCTGGCCAGCGCTTTACCATTGAGCCACTGGGTCAGAATCCAATGCTCCAAATTTCCAACTTCTGTTGGCTCACGATATACAGCGCAACCGCCACCCAATGTCATCGCTGAGTATTTGTCCTCATGGCCATCAGGCTTTGACTCCACCGGTCACGACTTGTCATTGGAACTTCGGGAATACTTCTCGAAACCAGTCACCAATGAGCACCAGTTCTGGTGTCAGTCTACGATGAATAACAACTTGAAGTATTTATCATTATTATTTTTTCTCTTGGGTTCCTAGTGGAACATACCGCTTTAGTAGCACGCCTCCATTGCACTCTTTTTCTGCAGTCTTTTAGACCTGGCTCCACCACTACCCACAAGCTTTCATTTCTCCTTTACATGATTTCCTCCATGTCACCCTCAGCTGGGACGCCCAACTCGTCATTCACTTTTTGGATTCCACTTGACGGCCTGGCCTGCAGCGTGATATCCAAATCCGGCCTTCTCAGTGTATTCCCAATCCAATCCATCTCCACCATCTTCGCATATTGGTTGGATGATAGGTCCTTGGTTGGTTTGTTCCCAGAGTGAGTTCCTTATTGCTTATTCTTTCTGGCCATCTGATCTTCAGCCTCAGTATCTTGTGAGCGTAGGCGGCAGCTGTTGATGAGTGTATGTAGTTTGTTGGAAGTGTTTTACTTAACGCGCCAAGTTTCTCAACCATCACATAGAACCACTGACTTGACCGACTTGGTGTTGAAAATCCGGATGTTGTTCAGGCTTTATGCTGAGTGCAGTGGAGTAGATCTCCACACTGATTATTTCAGATTAGTGAATGCCTGTCTTGCTTTTGTGATCCTGGTTTTGACATCTTTGTCTGCGTCCCTTGTAGTTGAGACGATACTGCATAGGTGGGTAGGTGAAAGAGACTACTTCGTTTAGATTTCTTTCGTTGATGGTGATTGGTGTTTGTGATTGTGGTTGTTGTTGGTTGGGTATCTTCATCACCTCCGTCTGCTCTATAATCACCTGAAGTCCTGTCTTCATTGCCCTGCCTCTTCTGTCAACTTGTTAGTTTTTGCCTGTAGATCTTCGAGTTTGTGCGACAACACGTTAGACATGAATCACCATCGGCTGCGAAATCCGAATCTTCTGGTATTTTTTCATCGGTCCACCTAGCGTATGCCAATCTTCTCGCTCTTCATGGTTCGCTGCATGATCCAGTCCAGTCGACCGCAATCAGGAAGATCATGGGTGACAGTAGGTGGCAACCTTGTCTTACTCCTTCCTGTCTTCACTTCAAAGGCATCACTAAGCTTTCCATTGTGGATCACTTGGCATGCGGCGTTTACATATGCCTGTTGAATGAGGTTGAAAAAGGCTTGTGGCACTCCATAATGTTGAAGCAACTACCAAAGTACCTCTCGATCGAAGCTGTCGAAGAGGAAAGTAGCAAGTTGTAACTCACAAAAAAGGGATATGAAGAATAAAAAGAGGTTGCATCAGAGATGATTATCTTTTCAACGACTCATTTTCACAACTGTAAATTTCTGATTACTCATATGTTGAACAAAGGAATGTTCCAGACAAGTTCACAGGTCAAACTTAATCGATGTGTGTGTAAAAGGAATACAGTGATACTACGTAACACAATTTGATCTCGATAACTCTTTACGAGGTGCAGTGAACAGTTAGACTTGGCATCTGTTAAAATTATTCAAAAAAATGTCATGAAATACAAACAAATAAATAAGTAACTAAAATACAGAATAAAACAGAGGTGCAGAATACCTTAATAAGTCAGTGGTAAAGCGAGTGTTTGTAGATGTTTCTTATGAATACACACTTGAAGTTAGAAGTTGTGAACTGCCAAAGCTTCGGCTTCACATAAGTGTCTATTTCCCACTACTTTTAAACAATTTGACTGAACTGTAATGACACCCAGAACTGTGTTATTTTGTAGCTTCACATGAATCACAGAAAACCTTGCGAACTCAGATCACTCAGGTACTTTTGAAAATTAATTCAAAATCATCTGAAGAGGTCAACCAAACCACTCGAAGAGAGTAAGATCAAGGCATTTGGAAATAGCTAAAAATTCAAATTCGCGTCAATGGTCCAAAAACATACATCCAACCTTTCTCTATGCCGTGGCCATCATAAGGTCTTACTGAAAAAGGTTCATCCTGTACTAAGTAATTACACATTTTATTTCCATAATCCCTTGCTTATTTTCGTATTCTGTCATAGATTTACCCTGTATTGCATAATTACATTTTATTTTACCACTCTAAACCCTTATTTGTATCAATTTACTTTCTTTAGTTACTCAGTATATTTTACCCCTTGACCGGAAATAATTCTGGGACATTCTAAGCGCTGTAACATGTAATCACAAAAGTTCAGCTTAGTCTTTTCCTATGACTAAATGGGTGTATTATTATGTGGTTATCGAATAATTTTAACAGATACCATATCTTACTGTTAACGACATTTTACAAAAACGTTTAAGATCATATCATGTTGCATAGTATCATTACATTCCCTATACACACCTATCGATTAAGTTTTACATTTGACCCAAAACTTAAGTGGATCATTCCATCACTTTATATACATTTAATTACAAATGCAGAGCTTTGGAAATTAGTAGTCGAAACGATAATTATCTTCTCTGTAACCTCTTGTTGTTTTCCAATGGTCAAATAGGTATTTTTTGTTACTTAAAAAAGAGATGTGCTAGTTAGCGACTAAGATTGTATTTATCAATATGAAGGAAGGAATCTTACTGATAAGTCAACAGACATAAAGATCATCATTTGTTGAAAAATATGCCTCAGAACATAGCCTGAGTAAAGCTGCTATAGACTATCTTAGAAATGTCAACATGAAACGTAGAAACTCTACTAGGTCGCTTCTTTGCTAAAGCTCGATTGACTTCAAAGATTTTAAGAAGGCACTTACTTTACCTAAGTAACCTATTTATTTGGGTAAAAGTATTTTATAGTGCAGGGGCCTAGTGAATAACGCTCTGGCGTTTCAAGCGATAGGTACGAGGTTCGAGTCCCAGCGGGAAAAACATGACACTAGGGCACATGTACGTTCAGATGAAGAGTCCAAAATAGGATGAAACGCGCATCCTAGACTCCTCTACTAGCCATAACTAAGTAAATTACAATGATATGTATATGTTAAAGATCTTGAAATACATGACAAATAGTTGAGGAAAACATGTCCTTTTCTCACAGGTTTATCATAATATTTGAAGAGCAAACAAAATGGATCTGAAAAGATTTACATGAAAAATAGCATTATGCTGCAAAGTAAGCTCATGAATGCACAGGTTAATCTTGTTACTGAGCAATAATACATAACATATTGCTATCATCTTTTACAGTAACAAGGAATTTACTCTGATTAATGAGGTCATTTAGCAAAAGATGTACTCCTCTAACAAACTATAAACAAGTTAATTAATTGCAAAATTTGATGAAATATTTTGATTTGAATAAAATCCGAGTAACTTTAGTGAAGAAGCTATAGGTTACCTACCAAAATGTTTAGGAAAATCTGATTTTCTAGACATACCGGAAATATGTCAAAAATCAATTTGTAACAGTAAGGTATGAAGCATATTTTCTGGAAGAAAATAATTTACGAACAATATATATATACATATATACTACATCATATTACACATGTAAAACTTGAGCATCGTGGTAGGATTTAATTTCGTATTAGATTTGTTTATTTGATTAATGGCACACAGTGATAAAGTATTATTCACTTCATGACACCTCAGGCATAAATTATTGCTCATAATCATATCAGTGTAATCACACTTATTTCGATATCTGGTTTTTGTAAACCTATCGCCTCTTATACTTTAATACTGTTGATAGTAAAATCTTCCAAATCTCTGGTAAATGTGTTACGTCATTTCTATTTCATATATTGGGTTTTGGTTCGATGAACAAAGATTGAGTAGTCAACCTTTCCCTCTCTCCACCTAATTATATTTGACTTGAGTACAGTGATTTTATCCCATTAAGCCTATTGAGTGGCTGTGTGTTAACTTACTCACTGCAAAACCGAGTCTTTTTATAGATTACTGATCTTATTCGGGTCTGTCATTCTATGTTTAGCTAAATTTCCACGTTCCACAATTGTAACTGACCCCAATCGGATATTCTGGCCTATATGCTTGACCTTGGAGTTATCGCATGGAATTTGACAGATCTAAGTGATCATAGGAAAAGACAAGGTGTAGTTGCAGCGAAAAAAATTTGTCTTTTCGACGAAGTCATTTACTAAGCTGTACATTCGTGAATGTATATTATAGTTAGCAGAACGTTCCAGAACTATATATATATATATATATATATATCTATATGTATATATATTATATTATATATTATGAAATTAAATGCAATTACGTTATGCGGGTTAAACCAATGACAGAGTAGGAAAATGAATAAGGTCTGAAGAAAATACAGGTTTAGTTATCTGATACAAAATGAATCTATAGCAGTCAAGGCTTTATGATGGCCATAGCAAAGTTAAAGTTTGGATGCACCCTTTTTGGACGCATAACGTTG